GATAACTCATAGAAAAATGAGCAAGAGTAATATAACGAATACACTTACTTTATGACGATCATATGCAACCTTATGGCGCATTCCACATAGACAGAATTCACAAATGTATATGGTAGGTAGACAACTCAAATCGGCAGGATAATTACTCTGATACCACGGTTGTAAATCCCATGTTCCAAAAATAACAGAACGTATGCGCTGTTCTGTAGCAAACTCAATATTTTCGGAAAATGCTTAATCTTATTTTGATGTGAAATTACAAACTACCATTATTGGGTACATTTCCTGAATTCGAAGCCACTCGTGCACATAGAAGTAAATGTTCTCGGGCATCCGTCTCCTCGAATGCAGAAAATAAAAAGAGACAATAAACCCATCTTTAACTGATTTTAAAATATTTCTTAATAGACAAGAGACTTCAAAAGAAAACAAATAACGTAGGTCAGATAATGCCATTTTCAATCAATCCCTCATATAATACAATGAAATAACTAACAAAAGAGGAAATTTAATACAGTAACATTAGGAATAGTGATTTGCATTCATGATTGATATTTGACAATGTTTCATGTAGTCTTTAATTAAGTTTTGATGTTCTTCGGCACTAGACAAACACGCGTACGCTTTTAATACCATTCGATGCATTCCTGAGTTGATTTTGAGTCTTGCGGCTACTAACTTACGAGTTCTTCCAATTTTAAGGTATTCCAAACCATCAAATAGGTAGTGAACTACCGTATGTCACGTGTAAACATCTGCTTATCAAAGGAGTAAAATGTCATCAAAGATGTTTAACATGTAGGACTATAGATTATTATCCACTAATCTGTTTCACGTTTTACCATTTTATGTGGTATAACTAGATCACAAATAGGAGTCAAAGTTCGGAATCAAACCATTACTAAAACGAGATTTTTCACTCACTACAAGCTTATAAAATACTTCAAGGTCAATACAGATGGTGTAAACGATAAGGTAACTAAATTAAATCTTAAAATCAAGTAGAAGACGAAACTGTTTTTCAGGCTCAGCATTACAAAATAAAGGACAAGAATGTCCAACACATAAAACTTGAAGCTTTGGAAATAATTTATGAAAAAAACCATCAAAAATGAGACAAAACTGATGGAACACTTGGAAAGATTTGTTAAGTTGGAAATAAACAAATAAAACAAAATGAAACGAATAAATCTTATATATGCTTACATAGGTTGAAACCAATCTTTGCTGAGCACGACGAAACTGGTACAACTCTACTTGGCTAGCTAAATCATCAAGCATAGGTTCCCTTTGTGTAGTTTTAAACTGATGTGAACGGTCAACCCTGTGTTTAACTTTAGAAGGTGATTGTGAATTTTGAGATATCCGTATAATGGATTCTGGAACAACAAGACCTTCTTCCCGAGCACGCATCTCCGCCCATTTCACAAAGCTCATATTGTGATACAAAGGGCATCCAGATAGGGTCACGTGTGCAGTATCTCGGCCATTAATATGACCAATCCCAGAACATCCAATTAAAGGACAATTAAAAGGGACATTTGAACGGTTTACCGGTAGGGCCTGATTGAATTCTTTAAAAAATAAAATTGAAAGTACAAGTAACTACTTTTCTGTTTTTGCTTCACAGACCATGAGACAAAACGATGCTTTGATTTAGGTAGTTTGGAACGGGAGAATGGTAAGGGTCTTTCCATTTGAGAAAATTGACCACTTTTCATTGACCTGGAGTGGAAATTTCAATAAAGACTGAAGTCGAAAATAAACACACCTCAAAAAAGCAATAAGAGCAAGTCGGATTCGAAGCTAAGTTGCAAAGAAGCTTTAAGCAGTTAGATGTTACTAACCTGCAGATCCAAAACAATCACTTTCGAGATTTTTCTAAACATGATTAATAATAAACGGAGAAATAATGGGATGATAGACTGTATATATTAAAACATCGTTACACAAACTCTACAAATAGCTTCGAAAACGATGGCCCGAACGTAAAAACATAGCTTCTAACCAGTAAGTCAGAGGTTCGAAACATCTCATACCTACTTCGGTTTGGCCACCCGAATTGTCACTGACCTTGAATTCCAATGAACAATCCCACATTTGGTAAACAAACGACACCTATCACTATTAAGAAGTGACGAAACAACGTGAAATGTTTCGTGCTAGTTAAAAAAGATGGCACTGATTGCTGATTATGCCCTAACCGACAGATAATTTAACCAAATTTTTTCGCATGCACCATACCCTAGTTAAATGCTACCAAGTGAGTAAAGTTTCTTAAGAACGCTGGTATTGCTCAGAAATTGTTTGTCAGCTATAGTCTTTTCAAACTTATCAAGGTCACCAATTAAAAGACAGATACAACCTGTGTTGACGGCAGCAATGAACAATAATTTCGGGTTCGACGAACACCCTGAATAACAATACTCATATTACACAAAAGACGAGTCTTTCGTGTCTCCCTACATGTCTCACGAAGTCAATCACATGTAAAAGCATATATTAGTCAAATATAGGCGTTATTTTGTCAATCCTAGAGAAGAGGTGTTAACAAACACAAAGGCGAAATATTGTCGATTTGAAACCTATCCGGGAATATAAAATATCTTTCAATAACGGCAACTTGAGTGGTTGAGATGTCGGTATTATGCAAGACATACCAACATCCAAGGATAAATCTTAAGTTTCACAAAAATCAGTATGATTGCCCTTTTAACATTATGACCAAAAATGAATAATCACCACATCATCGAGTGATACGTGAAATCCGAGTAAGCACAACTTTATTTTTGATCTCTCTGACTTTTTCAACAAATATGATTGTTTTTACACCAAAGTCAAGCGCAGAGACAAGGTACTAATGCTTACCAAAGTTATCGTTTGCTACGTCTGACCGCGATATTTGTGATAAACCAATAAAACAAATATTTAGAAATTCTCATATGATGCAAAGCATACAGAAAAAAGTTGACTGCCTCGGTTCAAACTAACTGTAACGCACTACCTAAATATTGCGCACCTTTTACTCGATATACTCAATGTGACCTTGTATAAACAAATTAATTAATTGCACTCGCTTCTCGTTGTTTCATTACGGTTCCATATACTTTATAATGTGTAATAGACAAAGGTTGTCCCACTCCATTACACCAAATTAAGTCAATTTGGCTGTGATTTGAGGATTTCTAAATCTTATAGTCTATGGTTGGATTGCAAACTTATCAAAATTAAAATGATAGATCAATAAGTGTAATAGCCTTAAAAAAAGATTCCATGGATAAAACAAAAGACGCGGTGCATACATAAATCCAGATTAAATAAGTGTAACTCCACCTTTTGGGCATGTCTCCGTCTAACCTGAAAGTACCTTGTACGCTAAGACAGGAAATATCAACCAACGACCCAGAAAGTAGATAATATACACTTCCAATATACAATATGTTTGCTGCGGGCATGTGTAAACCTATTGATTTTGTTGCACTCACTTTTTAAGGTTTCGGTAAGTTTCCAGATATTTGGTTATGTCCAATGAGTGGTAGTCTGACCACTCGACTGCACTGGTTCTAGTCAGTTTAGTAGTCTTTTGAGTATTTCTACATCTTGTAGCTAATTGAGTGCGTTTGTCTTGGGGCAGTAGGATTTTTGAATACCAGTATCTAACAAATTACCAGCTAACAGGATGGTTGATCGCAATGTAAGAAAATGAATTAATAAATGAGGTACTCAGAGGTGAATATTTCAAGAATATATAAGTAATTTACTAAGATAGTAATCTGTGGAAAGGTAGAATTGAAAAAATGAGAGGGGTAAAATAGATGATAATAAGATATGGGAGATAGTTTATTACATGCTGTAATGATAACCATTGTAACTTATGATGTAAGATTAACTGATGCGCGATGGTTGTCCCTGACATTGAGGAGGATCGATGATTTGCTCGACATTCAATAACCAAACTGCCGGATGATTTGGCTAGGGCTTAGTGACATCTTTGCAACCTTCGCTATGAGTACTTGAGGCACTGTATAAAAAGCTTTAGCTAATTCGAGGAACATTAGATAAACCGGTATCTTTTGGCCAAAACAGGTCTTCCAGCTTTGTCATATGAGATTGGACTCACAGGATCTGCATTTTCTGAGTCCGCATTGGACTTCCTATAGGATATTGTTTTTATCTATTCTCTCATTTGTTCATTTAACAGCCCTATTACCTTCGACGGTATTGGGAATGATGCGATAGGTCTGTAACAAGTTGAATCTTTTCTATCGCCTTAATGAATATAGTAGAGAATGGACTGCTTACATTCTCTTGGCAGTTAGTGTAAATTTAGTGGGTGTCTGAACACGCCACACACTAGTATACTGATGGCCTCCGCACACTGTTTCAGGACTATACGTTAGTTGCTGTCACATCCTGATTTTACTGCGCGCAGGGAGTTAGTTGAAATTCTACAAGATATTAAACTGCCACTGAAATTTAGACGCTATAACGTCGTCCTTGTTGTATCGCAGTTCAAATTGTTCTCCGTATTGCTGATCACCGCGATAGGACGAGTCAGAGTAGACTGAAATGACTTCCGACCATGAAAACAGATGTATGTCGGACGTCTTAGTGATATCATCATGGCGGTTCGATCTAGCCGATATTGGGAATATCAAGCATGGTATCTGGTCAATTTACATATTCACTACACAACCGTCCAATGACTCGAACCTGTCTAAGCAGTCATTATCTGAACGGTACGGATAATTTGAAATGAGTATTTCACTAACCACTATTACACGGGGCACCCGGAGTCTGTGGGACTTGTGCGGAGACCTGTCTATTCCGGAAAACTATCAAACCAAGATACGACCTAAACCGTACACAACATGAAAGTCTCGTTAGCGGATAGATTCAACTCCCAACTGGATTAGAAACAACCCTATCAAATTTAACCGTTCAGTATTACCAGAATTCACAATAATAAAGACTCAAAACGAAGAACGTATAACTACATATACACACCTAAGTTAATATATGTTGAATAAAGTGATATTTGAATATGATAAATTGTACATTAAATCATGATTAAGGGAGGATAGATAAATAACGTATCATTTAATAAAGATAGACAGATACAAACACAATTTATTTAACACGTTTCCGTTGTCTCTCTGTTTGAGGCTGTTTATTTTCGTCGCGAACCCGTAGAGGTACATGCCGAGACACAGTTGAAACACCGTCTACAAATTTTGTTTTGAATAGTACATTAGCATTGTTGAACATTCCATCCTTGAGTGACACCACAATGAACTACATCCAAAGGGAGCATAAAAATAACGGAGTAACTAAACTAAGTACTGTGAAGTTTCTAAATACGAGTTATATAAAAAATGCAACGTACTTACATAACTACACAAATAATTTCTATTACGATACGCGTAAAATAATACTAACAATACCGTGATGAACACATAAACATAACAATCGCTATATTTTGTATTGGGAGATCCTACACATCCTTCATTTCAAACGCTGCTTGGTAAGGCCGATCTACTTAAAATTAACAGTCAGTCAGTCAGCTACAACGTAGGACCAGGCACATATGTGCATCGGTCCAGGTTGCCATACCTCATTAGCACAGCAAGATGAACACCGGATTCATAGGAGTGGTTAGGTCAAAGGTTGCAATAAGGATATAGTATAGGAAGAAAGAATTAGTTCTTAGACAGAAAGAATGAAGTGATTTTAGTCTCTTAGTTTAAGGGAAGACAGGGAGTGTATACACCGACGCCACTGTGATCGATTCTGAGCCATGTCACCAAGAGTCTCCAACCATTGGTTACGAAAGTCACGCGGACCCCAACCAAGTAGTCTGCATCTACCAACGTGGCTCAGACTAGAAGTTAGTGAATTCAAGCACTGATGCCACGTTTTGGTTTGGCCGCCCCTAACTTTCTTCCAACCATCCCCTACCCCGGTTAGCATTGCACTTAAAATTAACAGGCTGCAAAATTAGAACCTTGCTCCAATTACATAGATTCGTGCAAATTATCTGCTGAGAAGAAAAGGGTTTATATATCTATATCATTTGGGGCAGATTAGCATAATTCTGAAATAATCTGGGAGCAGCCATCGAGGAAACATACTATCCTGCTAGACTGAAAAAGCTAAATCCCCGATTCCATATAAGACTAAACATCGTGCGAACGACTATGTCACATTCCACAGTATTCACTTATTTACATATATATATATATATACATACAAAGTGATCGAGGGTTACGAAGCACGTGCCCAAACGGTTTCAGAGTGACTCAATATCAAATACTCCGAAATACATAGAAAGCAGGAAACCAAATTCATTGACAACGAAACATATAAACACGACGGGTCATAGAATTGACCTTAATACAACTTCTAGGACGTTCTACAAGAACTGTCACGGACGAAATCTTAGACTTATAGAACCCCTAGCTATTCGGACATCCAAATGCCCTTCATGAATACTGGAAAATATATTACAACCACGAGACAGCATTGTTATCCATTTTGCAAATTACGAGCTAGGGTGATGTGACAGTTTTCTATCCTTCCCATGATAAGTTAATTTTTTCGCGCTTATTTACGACTACTGCATTGTTTTCGTTCGACATCTTATTCAATTAACCTTTATTAGTTTTTATGAATGCTGTGACAACCATATATGTGACCGGATTGTTCGAAAAATATAACATTTTTCAGATTAATTCTGTACTGCGATAGCCCTGTTAAGAAGAAATAATTATGAACTTTTATTGTAAGCGTCTCAACTTGAAACAGAGACACGTCAACTGTCAAACAAAATGTGTAAGTTACGTAAAGACCATAATAAATTTACACATTGCCAGTCAACCAAGGGAAAATATTGCATAAAACAATGCGTATAAGCTAAATGTTCATACTTTTCTAATTTATTATGTGAATATTAAAAAAGAAACGACTTGCAATTTTCACTGTTAGGAAGAATGGCCTATCTGTCAAATCTATTTGTACATCGATACTCCTTTCTTCCTTATTCGAATATCATACCACTTATTTAAACAGTAAACAATTTCAAGATCCATCAATTCGAACATACAGTACGCAAAACGGATTGTCCATCGTATGTTACTGCTTAGCGCTTGCATGAACCTGTGTCATTTTGTTTACTTATCATTCTGACCGCAACTTTTTAATAATTTTGGTAGTCACTAACAATTTTTTCTGGTGCATTTATCGAATTTTTGTTTCGGCGTAGCAGCTTCCAATTATTTAGATCTTAATGTCTGCTTCAGATGTTGACAGCTTGAGAATTAGGACACAGCTATGTACTGATGTTGAGATTAGTGTATGTTTATAAATAATCATTATAAACCCCTTAAAAGGCATCTCTCTTTATGGCTGAATACATCGACGTCTCAGGAATATAGGTATGTTGATATTTAGTATATATTTTTGCACCCTTCTTCAGATAACCACTGCATTTAGGTTTTCAGTTTGACAAGTCAGTTAGTCATTGGGTTAGGGAGCTTAGGTATAATCCACAATGTAATCACGTAATAATTTACAGAAACAATTGTTGCAAACGAAAAAAAGAGAATTTTCAATATACCCACCTGTGAATGCTTAAAATGGTTTTTAATCAACTGACCAATATTTTGTGTATGAGATAAATCGAGCGCCGCATCCACTTCATCTAATATATACAAAGGTGCAGGTTTGAAGAGTAATAAAGCCAGAATAAGTGAAAGGGCAGCTAACGACCTACGAACAAGATAAAATAATAAAACACAGAATAAACTGTCACAAAAGCAAAAAATAGAAATAAAGGATGATATATGTACATATGTAGGAATTAAGTCCACAAAAAGTGAGTAAAAGGACAGGTGTCACCTGTACATCTTGCAGAAACACTATTTTCCAGAGGTGAAAAAATACACCATTTATATACAGACACTAAATGTTAACTTAAAAAAGGTAGAAATTTATATCTTCATTAATAATATGTTTTTATCCAGGTTAGCTGATCCCTGTTGAATTTCGAGTAATTTGTTTACGACTAGTGTGAGGAGTATTTAAATATACCTATCGATAGATAACTAAGAGAGTTCATATACCTGTTACATGACTAAAAAATCTGAATACGTATTTAAAAAATAAGGTAAACAAAACAAACACAACTGAATATTCACAGACGAGTTTATATAGTTTGTGAAAAGAAACAACGAAGAACGGCAAAAACTATTTGTTTAAAACAATGCCTTGTTTAATTCAAAGTTTAAGAAATACTAACATTTATTTTTGTGCCTGCCCTATCCTATAAACAATCAGCTTTCGTTTATAATGTATAAATGACTGTCGTATTTTTTTCCTATCTGTAATTTAAACATGATCCATCCATTCCTTTTTTTCGAATCTAATGTCCTAGAGTCTGGATATAATTTTATTTTTATCATTTTTTGTGAGTTGTGATTCTGCTGACCATCTGTTTATTCATCTGTCTTTTGTTAAGTTGGTTGGGTCAGGAATAAATTAGATATACAGTTCAAGCTAAGTCATCTTCTCTCTCCTCGTGAAAATCTATCTGGTCAGTGATAGGGTAGTTTCATCTCTTTGACCTTAAGACTTTTTACTCACAAATCGGACTCACAGATTGCAGGCCTCAAAGTTGTACTAGGTAACCTATCACGTCAAGGTTGGAAACTAGATCAAGACAACCCTCTCTCCCCTTGGATATTAGGAGTAGACTAGTGAGGCGGACGAAACAAAGGTATAACAATACAATGTTTTGCAAGAGAATTTAATAACGCTACCCGGAAGTCTAGATGAAAACAGTAGTCATATATAATAATTATGAAGTAAAAATAAAAATCCTCAAGATTTCTCCATACATAGATCAACTACGCATATATATCAAAGTTTTTTGACTGAACTTTGGAAATCATGTAAGCATTATGATTTTGAAATTAATACACAAATTCTAATAATAGCCATTGAATATAAAAGGACTTTAATGGTCAATTCAATCTTCTAAATGATATTTGACTATTACATATTGGTGTTTAAGCACAACATAAAACTAGTGTATGCTACTTAGGTTGACAGATATAAGTAGTATGTAGCAGCAATTGGAAGTGGAATACCGACCAGCAGAAGATTGAAATGAAGAGAACAGGAAGGAAATCAGGGACCAATCATAATACCAACAGAATCAGGGGGATAATGGCGTATGTAAAGAGCAACACATTGGACTTCAAAAAAGACAAATGATGGTAACAGTAGGTTGGTCGATAAAAACATTTCGGAATTCTGATGGAATTTAGAAACAGTGAGGAAAAATCCGAATACCTGGAAAATTAAATATTAGTTAATATTTCCCAAAATATCAATGTGACTAAAAATAAATTGATACCTTTGACCACCACTTAATTCTCCAAGTGATTCTTTCCAAACATCACCAAATGCAACTTTAATTTCTAATCCATCAAGAACACTCATACCTTCCGGGGGAAATAAACGTGCTTTACTTCCTGGCAACAGAGTTCCGAAAATGTTACAGAATTCCTAAATCGTGAGAAATAACAAACAGTGAAGTGCGAACGTAAATAAGTGACCTAAAGAAACTCAAAAAAGCATATTTGCGAAATTTACTAATGAAATTATTAAAACATTGAACTCTTTTACTCCCTACAGCCAGATTGTTGATTGTAATCCAGAGAAATTCAATTGTATTTGAAGCGAGAAAAACACAAATATATTCTAATTTTGACCCAGAGCGTTAAATGCAGTACGAAGTAAGGTGAGACTGTAATTCATAGACGACCTTCGAGCTACGCCAGAGTGACCTTGAGAAAAGTCACCTGCTTACTAGGGTCAAAAGAGGGTGAAGAATTAGGACTAAGGTTTAGAGTTAGAAGTTAAGGTTAGGAATAAAGGTAAAAGTTTTCATCATGGACTGACACCAGCTATAATGCTATTTCATTACATAGGTAAATGGATTTCGCGCCAAAATCCAGGACTTACTACCTTTAACTTCATCGGTTCGTTCATAAATTATAATTTCACCGATAGTAACCCTCAAGTCGAGGAATATGATTGCAATCGGATTTCCCTAAACATACTTGTGCACCAAAACCTGATAGAAGGTAAATATACAAGTCCTACATCTACGTCTGTATCAACAACCTTACTTGTTTTCTCTTACCGAGATTTATCTAAGAATCAAACAATACATAGCTGTCTCCAGAGGATTTCTGTCCTTTCTTAAAATTTCAAGTTATCAACAGTCAAGATCAGTTCGATGGATTTTGCGTATAACTCTCTTACTATAATTACTAGCTCAGTTCACTTCTGACTAACCGTGATTGCAATGCTTAAATAATCATGGAGCTAATGCATTAAAGGTATGTCATTTCAAATTAGCCAGAAGCTAATTACAACAAACATCTAACAATCCTTCTATATTGATAACACAAGTAACTTCATAAGTTAATCAACAATCTACCAGCGTTTAATAGCATGACACGTGTAAAATAAACCAGTTTTAATATACCTCAATATAATAATTGTGGGATTTGTGTAGTATAGCGGCATTATTTATGTATAACCGGTTTCTATCATATAATTTCGTCCTTCCATTTCATTGGTTGATCGTAAATTAACTGATACTTCTATTCATCTAACTACATTGAACTGATCATTTTTGTGTTTATCAATGCTGACAGCCGACTGTTGTCGAGGTTTTTATCAATTTGGATGTGAGTCACCTTTAATCTAGGCTAAATATTACTTGATATATGATCAGTTAATATTTATACATATTTGTATATCAATATTTCGAGAAGTTAGAACAGTCTTTTTACTTTAATCGAGTTTATGTGGATTATTCCGACCAATCTAAAAATAGTGCGACAATTATTATAAAAGTCTCTACATATGACTTAGTTTACAACAAACTATCACATTAAATTAATATTAACTAAATATATTATACATTTATCAAATATAATTTAGTATGCACATTATATTTACAAAATTCAGTCATTCAATCAGCCATAACCAACGTAGAACCTGGTGCGTATGTACATCGGTTCAGGTTGTCACACCCATTCAGCACAATGAAATAAAACTTTCAGGGTAGATCACTGAGTGGTAGAGATGGTAACGTTATAAGTGGTTATAAAAAAGATTAGAACTCGAAGATACAATTCGAGAATAAAATATAAACTAGTGTAATAAGGATTTTTAAAAATTGCGAGGTGTTTAGAATATTAGGATCCATGAGACGGTAAAGAGTGAATGAACCAGGGTTGTTGAAAATAATATTGAACCATTTTACTCAAATTCTAACCACTGTTTACCATAATCACACTTATATAGTCTCTACCTGCCTACGTGGCTCAGGTTAACAGTTCGTGTCTTCATGGACTGGTACCATTTCTTTATTTGGCCATCCCTATCTTTCTTCGAACTAACTCCGACATCAGCGTTTATCGAGCACCGAGGTAGGCGGTTGTTGGATACACATAATACAAGTCTTATCCATGTCAGTCGATAAATACTCAGTATCTCATCATTCGGTTCGCCATCGTTACCTAGTACTGTGAGTCTAACCTCAGAATTCCTAACTCGATTATCCCAACATATAAGAGTAATCCATTGAAGATATCTACGATCAAAGGCTATTTTTCATGGCCATAAAGTAGGACGGGGTGAACTCATTCTCTAATTGGAAGATAGATACCTCACCTATGCCACAAGTGGCGTACGTTGGCAAAGCCGACAGAACCTTCGGAATCCATGCCGAAATTCCGTCAAAAACCAACCCATCAGGGTTGATAAGACTCCCAAGATAAGTGAAATGGTCGACACACTCAACTGTTTTACTGTCTAGCATTAGTTCAAGTGAAGACGCAGACTGATTCCGAAGAAACACTTTGTACTTAGAGGAAAAACCTATAAAATTGAATTGCAATAGCATAGTAGCATAATATGAAAATCACACTAACCTCATTGACTTTATTATGTGCACTTATTAAGACTTCTTCTTTTCGTTTATCTAAATCGTCAATAACTGCTTGAATTTTACGTTTATCAGCTAAAACAATTTCTTGACGTCTAATCAATTCAGAATATTGTTTTTCAGCATTACCAAGCATATTCATCGCACGCATATTTACAGTTCGACCAAGACGATCACGACGTTCTTTCAGTGAATGAATTCGTCGACGTGTTTCAATGGGATCACGTGAAGTAAAACAATATGGGCCATTTTCAACACCAAAATTTTGTTTTTCTTCATGAATCCATGGATATGCTTCTAAGAGTCGTTCCATCTATTAAAATAAAATAATGTCCATTACACAAATTATTTCCTACAGTGTAACTACGTAAATACTGAAATATTAGTTGTCACACAGTTCACATGTCAACGACTAAATTGTTCAGATAATCAGCAGTTTTAGTAATAATTAATATTTTGTAATATACAATTTTCCGAATCTATCAGTCAATCATTATAAACGTAGAGCCTGGCACAGATGTGCGTTGGAACAAGGTGCTATTACCATGTCAACGCAACATAAAAATAGCAATGAATGGGAAAACAGATCGAAATAATGTATTGGTAATAATCAAGATAAAAGTCCGGTATTGAGAATATAATTCGAAAAAACAATGAAAAGGTATAACATGAAGGAAAACTGGATTTCCAAATAAAAGAAAAGATAAAGTGAGAGTGTATCTGTGATAATGTAGATGATTCTGAGCGATGTCGCCCAGTCTTCAACCACTGATGGTGGTTATTGAGCAGACCTACCTAACCAGCTAGAATGAACATACCAAGATGACCTAGATCAGTAGTTAGTGAGAAATACACGAACTGATGTTAATCTTCCAAGTAACATGACTTTGTCAAGCATACGTATCACAGGATGTTGATGGCTTTTCATATAATTGTTTTTCGAGTATTATCTCCTAGATAAACTTCCTTAAATAATCATAGATATTGTACTTAAAAAAAACGAAATTATTTCTGAATATAGATACAATTAAATCTATACACTTGTTAAGAGAAAGATGGGAAAAACAAGTGTTATATCCTAGTGAACATTAAATTATGAGTAACTTCCGAGAACTATTAATGGACTAATACTATATATATATATAGGGAATTTGGGGGCAATCTGGTGAACTCATTTGTTGTTTTTTTAGAGGAATCATTTGTAAATGGTGTATAATTTATAATATATAACTTCTCTTTCGATTATTCACAGTGTTTAGATGTATGATGGATAATTAAAAAATTAGTTACTATACAATGACAATGAAGTCAATTTTTGATGTTACTTACATTACAATAAACATTGAACCTAGCTTACTACAGCAAAATTCACTAATCTTTAATAATTTAAAATTTATGTTCTTCTTTCAGTAGTACATTAATATAATTAATGAAAAGAGTTTGAATCAAATTTTCATTTTTGAAATATCATAAATTACAGAAATCTACTTTGAGTTAATTTGAATTGATGTTGGAATTCGCTAATAACGACCTTCATCTATATCACAATTTACTGATATATAAAATAAAATTGTACAATTTAGTATTGAAACTAGACAAATTATCAGTTGAGAACCGATCACTTGAAGATTTTTAGTTCATTTAAAAGCATAATCATACAATAAATGATTAAATGACAATAAATTTATGACAGAATGTTAGTTATTCCGTAAAATAAAAAGATGTATACAAACTTACATCATGATCACTAAAGCATATAACGAATATGATAGAAGAAAAAACGTACAGTTTATGGTAAAAATGGATTGTGTCTAGCGGATGATTCGAAGATACGCGTTTCATTTTATTTCGGACTCGGTAACAGAATTTACACATGCATCCTAGTGTGGATCTTCAAACTGGTCACAAATACAGCTTGTAAACTGATGTAGTATTGAAGCAGTTCGCTTAGGATGGACATATACTGACAGAAGCTAACCAAATTCCATCTTAAACATTAATAATAGGAAAATCCAACCCTTTACATGATGCATATATAGAAAAATAAGCTCTTAACATGTTTCACTAAAACAAACAATGAATACAACAACTATCGCCTAATAAAAAATACATTGACTTTAAAAACATTCCGAAAACCAAATAAATGAGCTCCAGTGGTATTTAATGATACCCTAACTAAGAGCAGTTAGTAACGTCAACTAGAAAATCCAAAATTCTCCTATATATTTATTAGTTCCTTAGTTTTAGTGAGAAGTAACCAATAGGATTCGGGCATGTTAAAAGTAAGGCAGTTATCTAACAAAAACATGGGATGATAGTTGCATGATATTACGAATGGATGGGAGTAAAACATGCAAACCACCAACTGACAACTTAGTTGTTCGGAGTTTGCGAGCAAAATCTAAGGTCTTGGGTTCAATGCACGGTAGTGGAGTGGTAGATACGCACTGCCTGACGAGTCTCATGATGGGATGAAACACATACCAAGCCCTTCCTGAATTTCAATGGCTATTTAAATGACATTGATTTGTGAGGGTAACTATGAAATAAATAATTAAAGAGAAATTAAACATATTCAAGCAGGTACAGCAAGCATTGATAAAAAATTGTAAGAACTCACTAAAAAAAACGAAAAGATACCTGTATTGTGTATCACAAAAGAATTAAAATACAATATGAAAATTAATTACCTTGATATCGGCTTCTTCACTTTCCTTAGTTTGCATTTCAATTTGATGAGAAAGTTTATCCACTTGACTGTTTGTTTGATTCAACGATTGAACTAATTGACCAGCTTCTTTCTCTGCAGATGTCAATGCACGAACAGTTTCATCAATTAATCCTCGTTGTTTATTAACAGCTTCACGTGCTTTAATTAAAGCCTCTTTAGCTAATCGTGATGCATCAATACAACGTTCTTCTTCTGCCTGTGCATCTCCTACAGCTTGAATTGCTTCTTCAAGAGACAGCTTAATAATGAGTATACACAAAAGAAATAAGTATTTAAAGTATATTAACAACATGCTTTATTTTAAAATCGGTTATCACCTTCAAGCAATTCAATATTGTGAGTTGTTTCCTTACTTTCAAAGATCATTATGTTGAAATCTGATATTTTACAGCTGGTAAAAATGACAATAAATGTTGGTAAATCATAAATTTTTCGTATAAAACTATACAATCTCTCTTTAAAGCTATCTCAATGTAATGTTAAACATCTTAAAGTTTAAACACATATAAACAAGTGGTTTGGTCAAAACTACTCGATTGATATAGACATAAGTGGTATGCCAATATATTAGCGTTGTAAACTTGTGAACACATTATGAATGGTATGCTTCTTACAATTATTTATCAAGTATATTACAGCATAATGCACTCAACTCCAGGCCACATTGTTTGTTTGAGGGTCAGTGATGATACTACCTGATTGTATTTGCTTAAATAAACGGATAATATTTCAAATATATAACTAATAATTTGAAGACTGAGTAGTTTACCTACCTAATCACAGCTTAAAATTACATCTTAACCACTGCTTTGTGGTGGCTTAGTGGTTAGAGTGTTCGACCTTAAGCGATTAAGTCTCAGGTTCGAGCCCCACCCCGTCTACTTCACTGGGTAACAAGGTTGTATCATTAGCACTAAATCTAACTTATATCCAATTACCTGAAGAATCATATCTAAGTTAGAATAGATAACACTATCAAACCTTACTTGAAAGTAAACCTAAATAACACGATCTCAATGATACCATAGAAATAACCCATACTACTAGTGGTTCATAATAGTGAATGGTATTACAACTGCATTTCAACCGATGAATTTACTTTCGAAACCTTGATAACTATAGCAACGCTTCAGACATTTGACTTAAGAGTTTGAAAGTCAGGACAATAAATGACTGAACAGCACAACTCAGTCAGCTACAACGTAGGACCAGGTACATATATGCATCGGTCCAAGTTGACATACCTCATTAACACAACAAGATGGACACCGGATTCATAAAAGTAGTTAATTCAGAGGTGGTAATATATAAAAGAAAGATTGCAATAAGAATATAGTACAGGAAGAAAGAATCAGTTAAGAAAGTCGACCACACTTGAATTGTTACTAAACATAGATGGATACATAGTTTTTCATCTTATCGAGATATTAAAACAAAAACATACTATAAAGACAGTGTTAACATAAACTGTTTACTTTATTAAGGGGTAGAACAATTACAAAACAATAACATAATATGTTATGGTAGGTAATTTACAATGAAGTAATTATACATTATATTAAGTACCACAATCTTGATTACATGATTTCAGCCATAATTCGGCATGATTTTCTTCAAAATCACAGTCGACCCTAGAGATGTGACAGTCAAGACAGAAGGAATATATCGTAACATTTAGGATTTACTCCGCTGATACAAATTTTGTATATTGAAGATCTTTTTAAACAAAGATGAATGGTGGCTAGCAGTGAAATCCAGGACGCGCGTTTCATCCCATTTGGGAAGATACAAGCAAAACAACACCAAGTGAATTGAAGATCTGTAGTAGAAATATTTTTTAGCATAACGAAATCCAAAAAGGTGTAAGAGATATTCAAAAATACAAAACGTCTTTGTATTAAGTACGACACACAGAGATACCATTAGTATTATGTCAGTCAGTCAGTTACAGAGTGGAACCAGGCACATATATGCAATGGTCTAAGCTGCCAAACCTTATTAGCACAACAAAATGAACACTGAATTCATAGATTTCATATAAGAACTTGATACATGGAGAAAGAATTGGTTTGTAGAAAGAAAGGTATACAGTAAATTTAATCTCACGGTTTAAGGGAAGACAAAGTGTATACACCTACGCCAGTGTGATCGATTCTGAGCCTAGAGACGCCTAGAGTCTCCAACCACTGGGTACGATAGTCGTGCGGACCCCAACCAAGTAGTTTGAATCTATCAGCATGGCTCAGACTAGAAGTTGGTGACTTTATGGACTGATGCCACGTTTTAGTTTGGTCGCCCAAAACTTTTTTCCATACGTCTCCAATACTAGTAACCATTGCATGCCGTGCTAGTCGGTGGTTGGACATGTGTAATACGTGGCGCAACCATCTCAGTTGATGAAGATTCACAACCTCACCAGCTGATTTACCATCCTTCCCTAATAACTTGTGTCCAACCTCATTATCGCTTATACGGTGATCCCAGCAGATGACAGCAATATTTGTAAGATATGCGATCAAATAATAGTGACTTAAAAGTATCCTCTACTCTTAGTGGCCACGTTTCGCAGCCGTAAAGTAAAATAGAACGAACTGCCGCACAGTATACTCGACTGTTAATTGATAGACGGATATCTCACCTTCGCCATAGGTGACGTAGGTTGACAAAAGCCAAACGAGCTTTCTGAATCCGTATAGAGATTTCGTCAGACACCAACCTATTAGGGCTAATCAGACTTCCTAGATAAGTGTTGTCGACGCGTTCGACTACTTCACTCCAGTTCAGGTGTTGACGCAGGCCAGTCCTAAAGTAATAATTTGCATTTAGAGGAGGGAGAAACGCATCCCAAAATCCTGGTATTGTTGCTCAGTGCTACCAACAGACTGTATTTTATCAGTGTCTCCACCAAACAGGACTGTGTCATCTGAGTATTCTAAATCAATAAGTGGACCTTCTGGTAGGAAATCAATGCCCGAAAATTCAGATGATGAGAAAGTTATTTCCAGTAGTAGGTCTATGATGAAACTAAACAAAATTGGAGATAGTGTACATCCTTGCCAGACAGCACTTGAGGTTGCAAACCGAGATGAGAATTCGCCATGAGCTCTGATTTGACTGGTAGTGTTCGAGTTAAGAGCCCTCACATGATTTATGCACCTCTGAGGTACGCCTTTCAACAACAGACACTGTCACAGAACGTCTCGGTTTACGAAGTCAAACATAATGATTAGTTCATTTTGTATTGTTTATTTGAATCTTTTCACTGATGTTTAGGATTGCAATTGCTTAATCTCTTATTGGCATAAGTGTATCCTGTATGAATTGCCTCGATATTGCCTTAATTCACAAGCATTATAAGCAAAGAAGGATGGTGGCCATCAGTGGAATTCAAGACGCGTCAGCTGGATGTACCTGCACCCTAAGGTTGATGTCTACTTCAGGAATCAAACCCAGTATTGTTCGCTTCAAACTCCACCGCGCTATCCATCAATACGAAAATGAATTAAACGCCATCACACTGCACAAGCTAGTGGCTATCTGAACTTAGTAGCTAAGTGGGTAACGCGATAGTGTTTGAAGCGAACGGTAATGGGTTTGAGTCCCGAATTAGACATCAACTCTAGGGTGCAGGTACATCCAGCTGAAAAGTCCCAAATACGACGGGACGAGCGTCTTAAATTCCACTGCTAGCCACCATCCATCTTTGCTTATAATGACTAGTATCATGTTTATTGACATGATGTAAATTCCCACATATAGATTTGTGCACTTGGCTTTGAATCAAACCCTGCGTGATGGCTATGGAAATACTCAGGTCGCCAAATTGAAATAGATGGGGTAGGACACGAATCTACGATATAGTGGTTGAATGTCTACAAGATATATCATAACGTTGCTTATATAAGTTAAGAAAATCTGATGCATGTGATTATTTAACCGAGAAAAAAAGTTACCTTTAAAGCATTTAGTTCTTTTGACAGTTCTTCAGCTTCTAAGCGTAAAGTTTCTTTTAGAGAATTCTTCTCCCTTAAAGCACTAACCGTGGATTCCAGTTGGACTTTAGCTTCTGAAAGTGCATTTTCAGCTTCCTGTTCTTCTTTTTTAAATTCAGCTACGGCGTTTGCTGCTTTCTCATGAGCTAACTTAGCTTTTAAAGATGCTTGAGTAAGACGTTGTTCAGCGTTTTGTAAAGAATCTTCGACTTGTTCTACACAAAACGAATAGATTTATGTAAGTCAAAAAGTGCACATCTATTAAATTAATTCTCCTAGAAATAAACGCTACCTAATGGATTTCAACGATGGAATAGAGAAAATTCATAAAAACGAACATGATTCCAATGATGGTATCTTTCAAAACAAAGAAGGAGGGAATCACGATGAATGCCATCCAGTATGATGCACCCACTAATGATAGCAACAACGACAATAAGGATAAGTTCTATGAGAGGTTGCAATCAATCATAGCGGAGTGCCCAAGAAAGGATCTCACAATCGTGATGGGAGACCTAAACGCCACAGTCGGAATGGACAACACGGGATATGAAGACGACATGAACTAGGAGAAAGGAACGAGAATGGTGAGAGATTTGCAAACCTATGTGCATTCAACAAATTGGTTATAGGTGGCACAATATTCCCACACAAACGCATACACAAAGCTACGTGAATCTCACCGGATCACACTACAGAGAACCAGATAGATCATACTTGTATCACAGTGCACAGTATAAAATATCATAAACTGAACAAAAACAGGTATGGTATTACATAATGGAACAACCAACATGCTCTTATATCTCATATCCTAACTTATGAACGAAATAAAAATTTCCTTGAAGAAACCATGTATCACATGTCAGTAGTATTTAGATTACCACTGAAACGATGAAAACTCACTTAATTCAGTTCTAGTAGCTGCCAAGTCTGCACGTAATCGATGTTTATCTGTCTGCCTTATTTGAGTCTCTAAAAGTTCTAATTGATGGCGAGCATTATCTAACGCTTCTCGAAGATGACTAATATTTTGGGATCGTAATTGAGCTGCTCTGACATTTGCTTCACCTTGAGTAACATTTTCTTCAGCTTTTTGAGCCGCAACCTCAAGATCACGCCACTTAAATATACGAGATAATAAACTATCCGAAGCAGTTCCCCGACTTCCACCGGACAGTGTGCCCTAAAATATGACAGAAAAGAGCATTAGTGAAAAGTATCTTTAAATAATTCAGCTGAAGAATATGCAGTACCTAAATTCTTCAAATGAATATACTGAATTTATCGTACAGTATTGTAAAAAGCTGATAATGATGAATAAACTTCAGTGAAAAACTACATCATCCCCTTAAACATATATACAATAATAAAATAATATGGTCGAATAATATCGCCAACTGAATGAAAGTAGAGGAGTAGACCATTGAGTGCCAGCTCAGTACTCTACAGTGGATGCAAGCTGCTGAAATGTTCTACATTAGAATGGAATAGTTCTTCATAGCTTCCTAGTTTTCACTGATTGCCTAAGTAAGGTCAGTTTCCGATGTCGATTGTAAAATAACATGAAATAAAACCTCTGTATCTTGGAAAACATAGTTAATTCATTGACAACAATTTAACTGACGGAAACACGTCTAACACAACAGATTTGACGGTCAAGTCAACAGTTTCAAATCTACATACCAAAAACTAATAGAGGCCCCTACATGATATATCAAACGTGTTAAGAACGAAGAATTTGTAATCATTACTATCTTCTGCATGATACTAATTTTTTACGTACAGATTAATGCATTTGATTTAAAGACATACCTTAAGCAGGGAAGCTAATGATGCTATTCGTCCACTCAAACGAAAGTAGGTAGAGTGGAGTTCGAATAGACAACTTCTTGGCCAAGAGTCAAACACTTTACCCATTATCCCACCCCTTCACACTATGAACAAGTTCACAAGTAAAGAAGCAATGATCAAAATCACTTTTTTCTAAAAGAAAAATAGAGATGATTACCTGAGGATCAAATACATCACCTTCTAATGTTATTGTTTTCTTTTCAATACCAGGGTGAAATGCAACACGCCTAGCTATTTCCATATCTGGACATATTAATACACTACCGAATACATATTCCATAACTGGTTTAAGCATATTATCATATTCAATTAATGAAAGAGCAGTGACAACATTTGATGCACCAACTAATGACTGGGCATTTTTAATAACACCATCTGATATGGGATTTCCACGTATTTGAGTTAACGGAAGCATAGTGACACGTCGACGAATTTGACCACGTTCTAACAAAATTTTACCAGTGACTTCTGTGTCTACAACAATGTTCTGTAACTAAAATCAGAAAATGTTAAACAAAGTAATTAAAAGGACATAAATTTTACAATAAGATAATCATAGTAGGAAAACAGAAAATGTCTGTTAGGTTATGTAAGAAACATATCTAAACTTCAGTGGTCAATAAGATTATGTTATTATTATTATTTATTATTTCAACACATACATAATGGTACAAAGAGGCACCAAATACATATGCGCCACACAAATCTCATTCGATATGTGTGAGGGCTGTGATACTGCCCGGGTGCCCAAACCGAAGCAGGTGGTTTTCTTAGGGGGCCACTCCCCGAGCCTTCGACCTGAAGGTCTGATCCACAAGGCAGTGGAGCATCGTAAGGAGATGCAGTCCCATGGAAGCCGGTGACCAACAATTGGTTCATACGCCATTTGTTCCCGCAGGATACTGGAGCCCATGTGCACCATTGGTTTGGAATCCGGTTAAAGCGCCGGACATTCGCTTTTCGTCCTCTCATTTTTGTAAACAACACCCCCGCCACGAGAAGGCAGTGAGTAGGACTTCCCTGGCAGAGGCTATATACGCATGGCCGTGTGAGAGCATTTCGAGAGGGAGAGCGGACTCTCCCCACTCTCGGCCGTACCAGGGCCGATAATATTATATTTCCTAATAACAAGAAAGACTGATTTAGCTAAGTGATTCCGACATTTATCATATTATTATCTATATATTTGTAGATAAACAAATGGCTTCTGTAATCGGGGACATTAGTGAAAAGTGGTCCGACACCAAAGGAAATCATGATTGTCATTTACATTCACTTCCTTTATGTAGCCAATGAATTCAAAGGTTATGTGTGAGGAATACAGGAAAAATACTTTCTTATGAGCTCCATGAGGTCTGCTAACCAAATTTCTGACGAGATAACGGGATCTAGATATGTTAAGAATTTATAGGAGACGTAATCCAAGTTTATATACTTTGAACAAACAATATAACCGTAATGTCATTGACCCTGTTAGTTTAATACGCTCGTAAATGTCTTCTTTAGTCACATAATTCTTTTTCATCCTATTAGGAAATTTAGTTGTCTTCCAACCACTTCAGTCTTATTCTGTTCTCTGATATCTTTAGAAGGCTTGATGCTATTTGAAAGTACATTTATTATCTTTTTGACGTAGATTGTGCGGTCCACCGGAAATACCCTTGTAACTTTGTTTGGACGTGTTATTGAGAGATCTTGAATGTTTCTGAGTAGTTTGAGTTTTTTATGGTATTTTGTTAGGAGACTTCTAAGTGCTAACTTAGTGTTTAAATATTGATTGCAGCTTTCAAAGGTAGATTGAAAGTAATAAACTTCTCGGTGGGATACTGGGTTAGGAATGTTATTGTATTTGATAAGGTTGTCAAATTAAAAATGTGTGTGAATTTTGTTAATTTTGTGACTTATGTCGCAGAATTTTGTTTCCGTATATAGAACTCCCAGCAACAAAATTGATGAGAACATTGGAAAATAATTGAATAAGCATCTCTCATGATTATTTGGGAATTTATGTTGTCTCTGTAGCTGTCAAACTCTCATCGCGATTCAAAGTTAAGGTTCGTGTACGTTTATCAGTAACCGTGAGAACATATTTCCGACCGTTATGGCTACCTTGATGTAGTGGTCGGGCTTGCCTATCGTGATGAACCAATCGGGGTATACTGGCTGGGACAATTTTTCCTCAAGGTCCTACCATGCAATGCAAGTCAGTTGAAGAGCGGTAAGACTAGAAGTAGCAAACCCAAGATCCGAAGGAAAAGCCAAACTTACGACTGTACAAAGGTGTGACGGTAGTAGGGATATGAGTATTGCTTGACCAGACAGAATCTTTAACAACCTGTAAAGTTAATATTAATTATTTTATTCTCTTTTATCTCCCCTTTATCTTTTAATTTTTTACCATTGTTAGCATTATGATTTCTATCAGATTGCTCCGATTCCTATTGAATCACTAACTGATCTGACACGTGGTTATCAGAATTTACATAAAACGGTACTAGTTATTATTGTTATTTTTAAATAAAACTGTGCTGCATATAACTGAAACGAGAGAAATGATAAGCTTAACGTTAGGCATGGTTCAGAGGTAAAATTAATTCCCTTAAGACTTATAAATAAATACCAACAAACAGTGGCATTATTATACGCATACAATTAACATAAACCAATAATACGTTCTAATTTCACCATTCAAAACTATGAATATAAAACATCTGATGTAAGTTAGTCAGAGGTGAACATCAATTAACATAAGAGATTACCTTATTTCCAGCTATCACTTCTAGAGCAACCGCATATTTTAAATCTTTGACACGAAACAATTTCGCAACAGGTCCGAGAACACGACGTCTATCAAAATTTGGCTCCGGATCAGTATAATCAAACACAAGTTGAGGGAATTGAGATGATAACTTTGAAGCTTGATGACGTAACTCCCTTGCTTCCTTAACTAAGCCAAGCTGCTTCTCTGTGAATAAAAAAAATATATATAATTAGGTAGAGATACTGGGAACATCCTACCATGATAAGCGGTGGTCTAGTGGTTAAGACGATCGACTTTCAGCGACTAATTCGTGGATTTAAACCCCACTCCACCTATTTTAGTTTGAGTAATCAGATAATATCAGTAGTTGCCACATCCAGAGTGTGGCGCAAAGCCAAGTACATTAATCTTTACCTGGCAAATAAATTGAGTAACTAATTGGATGATAAGCAGCTCGAAATGAAAACTAAAGCCAACATATGTTGTTTTTGAATGACATTCATTTTTTATTTCAATAAAATACCTCGAAACATATTCAAAAGTCACAAGAAAATTCTCTCAAACATTCAACAGTTTTTAAAATCAGTTGGCTGTATTTAAGATGGATTAGTTGATAACAGACTAACATACTATCACTAGCACTGCTCTTTTCTATATCAACAAACTAATATTTTTATCCGATTGTATAATACAAAAAAACTACTAGCAAAAATGTTACTGAGATTCAGATTAATCGCTGCTTAAGGAGTTGTGTTCAGTTTGTGCTCCCTACGGATGTACCTACCAACTTTATTATAATGACTAAAACAAGAAGGCTGGATCCATCGATAAAACAACTGATACTTTAAGAATCTCAGATCTGTTTTGAGGAGACATAATTCTGATTAACCCCAGACATAAAATACATTGCCCCACTTGATGGTTATCGGCATTTGGTCACAAAAGTTCGTACGGTAATTAAAAGTAGCTATCGACAACTAATAGAAAATCACAACTTACAGAACATGCCTGGATTTCATCTGTTACCGCCTACACTTTAATAACTGCGAAATGTACAGTTGGAGAGTCTTTGCATACTTAATTAAAGATAAATGTGGCCGATGTATGTCTATGAAGAAATAAGGCGGTTAGTTCACAAAGCATTGCAATCATACTTATCCTAACTTTCTGTGGGTATCACCTACAATCTAATTTAAAGATAGCAGTACAAACAATGCCCTAGTACGGCTGAAGGCGGGGACAGTCCGCTCTCCCTCTCCAAATGCTCTCATATGGACGTGTATATAACCACTGTCAGAGGAGTCCTACTCACTGCCTTCTCACGGCGGTCTTGTTTACGAAATTGAGAGGACGAGAAGCGAATATCCGACACTTTAACCGGGTTGGTTGATATGGAAGATCCATCTATGGGAATTGGAAAACCGTGATTCCAAACTAACGGTGCATATGGGCTTCAGGATCCTGAAGGAACAAATGGCGTGTGAACACTATTGTTAGTCATCGACTACCATGGGACTGCATCTCTTAACGTTGCTCCACTGCATTGTGGTTTAGACATTGTTGGGGTATTCGGGAAAATATCCCAAAAATTATTCTGTTAAGTCTAACGCTATCCTTGGACTTGAGATGGTGTCATTTTCTTATTGGTCAATATTTATTTCATGTGTCATTTTCCTACTGGTCAATATTGTACAATGTTATTTGCTATTTTATGGTACAATGTGGTCTGCTTGGTTGGTGTATAAACAGAGTACGTTTGAAATATATTGGTTCATATCTCCGAGGCTGAGACTTGCGTTCTGGACTCAACTGGCTGGGCTAGACAAGGAAGCGGGACCAATCAGAACCCTAGGCCGTTCTTAAGTGTTTGCGCGTCTTTGGCCCGATCGATAATTCGCTGGCCTCTAATCTGCCGTCACAGTTATAGCAGACATTTAGGTCAAAGGCTCCGGGTGTGGCTCCCTAAAAAAGCCATCTGCTTCGGTTCGAGCACCCGGACTAGTATCCAGACCCACGTACAAATCAAGTGACTTGTGTGGCGCATATGTATTCGGTGACGCTTTTGTACCAATGTTTGTGTGCTGAAATGATGAAATTATAAAATAGCCAGCCAGGTAATATGCACACAACCTTTCGAGAAATAAAAATTTTGGCGCGGTAAATTGAACTCCCATTATATTAGTTTATCACACTAACAATTCAAACAACAAAACGGAATTCAATACACATTAGTTTCATTGGAGGCACCAAATACATATGCGCCACACAAATCTCATTCGATATGGGTGAGTAATGCTTCATCACTTACCACTTAACACAGATTCGCTACCAACAGACCTATCATCCGCCTCAGCTCGTGTCAATTTCTTAGTTAATTCGTCAATATGTGCAGTAAGTTCCTTTTGTTTCATTTCTTCTTTAGATTCTCCGTCTATTGACCCATGTCCGAAAGTTTTAACGACAATGGCTTCTTGTTTAGCAAGCTCATTTTGTAGATGTTTCTGACGCATTTTCAGTTGAGAAAGTTCAGTTTGTGCGGAGCACTTCTCACCATCTGCAACTCTAACCTGTTCAGCAAGGCTAGCTGCAACACCATTTTCTCCACTGGAAAGACCGGATTTTACTGCCTTTACACGTAATAAATAAAAATGTATAATATAAGTCTTTAAAAATGTATGCTGACTAATTAATTAATCTATCCAATTTACAGACTAAGTACACGACAAACCTTAAGTTAGGTCCCAAAGCTTGATAAATGTATAAAAAATGGCAGAACTGGCCAGAAACGGGGTCAACTAGGAGTGGTTTGCTTGAAATTTTTGGCCATTTAATTTCCAACTTTGCAAATATTGCAGGGAATGTTTATGCTGTTTCGATGTTTTTGTCAAAACAGAATAAACCTAGTGAAAGCTGTAACTTTTGGGGCCGTTTTACGGATTATTGTTATACATATTTTCATTATATAATTGTTGAATAACTGGATTAATGTATCTCTACATTTTTTGTATTATAATTTTTCACTAGACTCAACTGTCGTTATACATCTTACTGCTCCTTGACCACTCCTAATTAGTTTTTAACACTTTGTTCCGCTCACTGCCATTTATGACTTGTGTGGGAAATATTTCTTATTCGGGAGATGTGGTGGTTTGATAATTCATGTATATGGACTCATATGTTTGAGTATGATGAACCAAACTGAGTGACAACAAAGATATGTCCCTGCTAACTTCGTCTTCTAGTTAGACATTGAGTTGGCAAGAATTAAAGGGCAAACAAGTGCTAGTTTTTTGGTCGTTAATCACTGATCGTTATCACTGTTCAGTTAGAAGACCAGTCATCCCACAGGTGGTACAAACAGACACAACGACTATCTGCTCTTATTGTAAACAATCCGATTACCTGAGGAAAACAAAGAGAAAGAAGTCTTGGAGATATAACAGTTTTAGCTGGCTACATATGTATATTAACTATCTAATGCACTGAATTGATTTTACAAAATGTATACGGATTATTGTAAAGATAATTACTGTTGAATTGAAGTGAAGATATTACGGTGGTCATTATAATTTTTTTCTCGTAAGCCCATTAGATAAACGAAAGCTGAGTGCGTTTGGATTCATGTATCGAATATACTATGTTGTGGGAAAAGATGTCGAAAAGGGCAAAGCAGATTTACGGCAGATGATGGTTCAAACAAATTTTGAACATTATCAAGTCAAATGATCATTATATTGGAATTTATTGCAATATAATGAATTGATACTGCAAATTACTAACGGTAGCCAACAAATAAAGCAAATTTTATTACCATCAGTAAAATGACAAAAACTCAGCTTACGAAGACACTTATTAAGCTTAAATTCTATATCAACAGTCGCTGTTTATATAACCAATTCACTATTCTATTCTATTTATGGACACGATAGCTTAATCATTACAAGTGGTGACTCGCTAATGTGGAACAGTTGATTCAAATAATTTCAATGGGTACTATGACGTACTATCTGAAGTAAATGCTTACCTGTAAACGCTTTTGAGCCGCTTCAAATTTAACTTTGGCTTCTTCTGACTGTGCTAGGACGGACTGGTACTCAATACCAGCAGCAGCTTCCGCTGCTTTATGTTTAGAAGACAACTGCTCATCAAGCTCCATACACTGTGACTCCATGGACTTAACACGCTGTTTGGCGGCCCGAAGAGATTCAGACGCCCTTTGAGAAGCCCCCTTAGCAACTGCTTCTGTTTTCTGACATGCAGACATTGTAGATTCTAATTCTTCAAGTGCTGTTCCTTGATGCTTTAGATAAACGCTTTAAGAAAACAGTACAGCCTACCTCATCTCTTTGTTTGCAAAGTTCAGCAATACGACTTTCTATAATTTCTTTTGACTTCCGAAGCTAAAAGACAAACGGACTAAATAGAACCAATACGGTTAAGTTACTTCTTCCATATTCTTTTTTTGCTCATCCAACGAACGTTCAAGTGTAATTAAATCTCCTTTTGTTCGTTTTTTAGCTTCCTAAAATCCAGGTGTATATTAGCCGATAACTTTGATAGTCTACTAACCTCTAAACAACTATAGTCGTAAGCGACAATAAACTTTTCCAGATGATTAATTTCACGTACAACTTTCTGATACTCTAAATAACTGCTCCGTTCTTCACGTAATTTCTTGATAGTAGGGTTAATATCTTCATTAAGAATCTATAAAAAGCGACATAGTAGTAAGTAAAAAAAGCTCACTCTATCTATTTCTCTTAATTTACTATCTTTCTTTTCAATAGTTTTAAGTGCTGCTTCCTTTTTATTTTCATATAGTTTGGTGCTTGCTGCTTCTTCTAATAATGATAGGATCTAAAGTACATATTTAAACACTCTATAACACTTATTTGGCTTACCTCCGGTGGTTTCATATTTAAAATTTTTGTAATTCTACCTTGCATAATTAGAAAGTGAGGATTATTAACATTAAGTTGCACTGAGTGAAATAAATCATGAACCCTTGTGGTGGTTGCGTTTGTTCCGTTAATCAGATATTTATTTCTGCCTCCAACGACAATCTGCTTTGTGATTGTAAGCTCATCAAACTGCTCATAACCATATGGGGATTGTGACTTATCCATATTGTCAAATACTGCGCTTACGGTAGCCTTGTTTATTCCTGCTTGACCGCATTTGTAAACCAAATCATGTAGGTTTGCTGCCCTTACCTATAATCAAATTATCAAGAAAAACAACCAACCTACATGCGATAGATTTGTTATTCCAAGTAAGAAGCATATAGCATCTAATATATTTGACTTTCCGGAGCCATTTAGACCGGTAATCGCATTGAACTGTGGATCAAATCCATCGATTTCCGTTCTCTGACAATAGGATTTGAAGCCATCAATAACCAACGACTTTATATACATTATGAAATGCAAGACACCTGGACATTCAGATAGTACGCAATCTATAAGTACATGACAAATAAATAAATGCTTATGACAAGGAATCTGCAACAAATCATATAAATGGGCACAAATCTAGGTAAATATACTATACAGCAATGTAAGAAAAATTAAAAAGATGGAAACAAGAGCGAAAATAGTAGCGGCAGTGTTTGAAACTTAAGATTTAATATTGGCTTTTAAGTATAGTTTCGACATGATTATGAAAGCATTTGTTATCAACAGTCACCAGACTTATTCAATCTGTCTAATTACCACAAGGACTAAAAGTGCTATATATTTTCCTAAATTTTATACGTAGAGTGACTGTTTAGCCTAAGACCACTTTACCTAACTGCAAAGCTACGGACCTTCAGCCACACAGAAAACAAAATTTAAACAATCGTCAAGGTGCAATGAAATAACCTTGAAATAAAAGGACAAATAAATAATATATTTGTAATATCCCAATGAGTGGAAAAATTAGATTTTCTGACGTTTCGTGTCTTAGTGCAAACCACTTCTCTGAAGAAGTGATCTACACCCACATCAGAAAATCTAATCTTTCTACTCATTGGTATATTACAAATATACTATTTATTTATAACAATCTACCCAATGGTCAATTTATTCGAAATTATCAAATCAAACCTTGGTTATGATACCTACTTGAAATGAATGGTTCAAATGGTTGTGGACGGAGTAGAAGAAGCATTCGCTTAACGGGCGTCCGTGTCTATTACCAGTGAATCACCAATACCTCCAGGCAGTAACCTACGTATATTAACGATAACAGAGAAAAAATCGGTAAATCATAGTAAGATTTTATTCTTGCTCCTCAAGATCAGGTCAAATTTCCTCTTAAAGGGCTCCTAGGAAGTCGCTTGGACTGGCTCATTCGGAAGTGAATTCCAGCATTTGACAACCCTTAAGGAGTAGAAGTGCTATCTACAATCCGTTCTGCTGTGTTGTGTCTCTAGTCTCTGGGTGTTAACCCTTAGGTTCGTGTTAGAGCTAAACTTAAGTAGGTGTTTAAGGGGATGTTCAGAGGTGTTAAGGATACTATAAGCCATTAGAGAGTCACCTCTAAGACGCCTATACTCTAATGGGTTAAGGTTTAGTGTTTGGAGGCGTTCTTCATGCGGCTTGAATTTGAGTCCCCGAATTGATTTCGTGGCTTGCCGTTGGGCACACTCCAGAGTGTCGTTGTCCTTTTGGAATGAGGGAGAAAATACTATGTTTCCATATTCTAAATGGAGACAGATAAAACTACTGAAGATTATATGTAAAATTCTTCCGTCAAATTGGCCAAAAATGCGCTTCAATGTTACCAGTGCAAGGTTTGCTCGGAATACATTTTTGTCACAGTTAGCATAAGACTTTAAATCGTAGGGCACCAGAACTCCTAAATCTTTTTCGACTTGGGATACTACTAGAGAGGAGTATCCTAAATTATGACTGTAGTCTGCGACATGTCGCAGATGGACTACTTTACACTTTGAAGTGTTAAAGGTAAGTCCGTTATCGTCTGCCCAACTTTGAGGTCGAGTCAGATCCTCATGAAGTGCCTTTATATCGACTTGGTTGCGTATCTCTCTCCAAAGTTTCACGTCGTCGGCAAAAAGTAATAAGTCTGACGTTACCTGTTGAGGAAGATCATTTATGTAGATCAAGAAGAGAAAAGACCCTAGTACTGAGCCCTGGGGGACCCTACTAGGACATACCGTGGCCTGAGATAAAGTGAAATTAACTCTGACCTCAAGATGTCGATTTTTCAGGTATGAAGCAAGCCAATCGATTAGAGCTGATTTAATACCCAGTTGTTTGAACTGATTGATAAGGAATATATGGTTGACCATATCACAATCCTTGGGTGAAATTTCCTTTCTGTTGCCTAAAAGTCTTGGTTTAACAACTTATCACCCTAATCATGGCTTTTCAAAGAGAGAGAAGTTGGGTTTGATTAAGAAAAACGCCTAATTTTCTAGCATACCAGTGATGTTATTGAAATAACACCGGACCCCGGATGAACCAACCTATCCTGCCAGATGTATTTCAAACTTATAAAATCGGTCATGGTTTTTAAGCTGTTTATTACCATCCGTCGGAGTTGAGAATGGTTAAAAGGGAATGGCTGAGTAAGTGAGAGACTTCAATGCACACCGCAGCTCGATTGTAATATGTTTTTTTTATTCTGAGAATTTGTTTTCTGAAATAAATCATCATTCTATTAGGATTGTATCGGTACTCCGAGTGTACTTAGATAAAAAATACCCCTCAGTCTTAAGGCTGAAGGTCAGTCTACGGAGTCAACGGATGTTAAGTCTTCGTTGAATGAGAGTAAAACCTAACTAGGTGATTGAGACTATTATTTACATCGAATACGGTCAAAATCTACGTCTCGCTGACCTTATTAATCTCTCTAACCTTATCAATCTCTCTGACTTTAGGTTTAGCTCATATTTTTTTGTCATTCAAGAAAGTGATAAGTGTGTAGCGTGGCGTCGAGTCCCAATTGACTATGAACACCGCTACAGAGAAACACGTGCCAAATAAATCCCCAGGAAACGAAATATCAGAAGGCATTTAATGGACCAAGTCGAGATATATTTGCTGGTGATCTCGTGGTATCGAAATGATACCGAGATCATCCCAGGATACAAGCTTGGTTACAGAACGTAACCGAATTCGCGCGAAGTCACAATCAAAGTGTAAGAATAATAGATGTTTATAGTACAGTTAAACAAAGAGCACATTAAATCAAGCACTGGTACAATTGGTTATAATAATAATTGTTTTCAATAAACCAATCGTGTTCTCGTGATAAAAGAGTCACTACAAGTGCTTCAGAAGTTCTTTGTTCTTTCCAATGACCGTTTATGAGGCCAAACTGAATATACCACATGTAACGACTGGCCAAAACTACAGAACGCTGACGTATGAGAAGTCTCCTTTGTGCTTCCAAAATTTTTATATGCAAAAGTTTCTTTCTGGACAAAAATGAACGTCTCAGAACCGTGAAACATGCACCCCTACAAGCCTACCCGGTGACAAGCGTTTATCCTATCACTGAATCTCGAACATACATAGTCGATGACGAAAGCAGAAGAAAACTCAGTTATTTTTTGCAGTGCACCGCTTGAATGTGATGCAACTTCTCAGACTGTTCAATAATAACAATAGTGATCTCTAGATCACTAGTATTTGATAATAAATTCGTGGTAAACAGCAGCCCAAAAACATAAACACATTTATCCTTTCACGCAGACAAACCACAAAATCAAAATTCGCGATAATTGTCAAACCAAGTCTAAGCCACTGTGCGGTGAGCCCCGTCGTTTTGAACACCTTTTCACGCATCGAATATCAAGCACAGTACTACCAATTCTATCAGCTCCTAAGATTAACCGGGGCCTTAACTCAGAGGCTGGTAGTATGCCATAAATCCTGAAATTTAACAAAAAGCCCGTTGAGAACCCTGAATTACACATAATCGTACACACATGAATCAAGCGCTAAATGAAAGGACCTCAATTAAAAAGACAATCACCACTCGATATATACATACAATCTCCTGCGATACATGTACATTTCAATAGTCAGACTTACCGATGCAGAATTATGGTCTACTTCGTAATTAGTACTGCTCTAATGATAGACCTAGTCCTAAAATTCTATATGTGTCATGACGTAACTACCTAATCCATGGGATCTTACGTGGAGGTTCCATCATTGTCTACACTGACTCGTCGTATCGCAACTATCGGCAATATGTTTGGCTTTCCTAAAGAAAACATTTAGACTGGAGATAGAACAATTTATTTAATATGAATAGAACAAGAACGACCACGCCTGCAAGGCTGAGTCATACCATCCGATTGGTTCTCGAACGAATGTTCCCTCGTTCACTTTTGTTGGCATTTTCTCCGTTGTCGCAGGTTCAACTTTGAGGATTGTATGGTTAAGACCAATACGACCACGTACTAATTAACAGATACGGGGATAAAATGAAGTGCACTAGCCAGTAGGTCTTTTGAGAAAATATCACACAGCTGCCGCATAATCCATGCAGCAGGATACATTGAACAGAACAAGGAAGACAAAGAGGGATGCATGGTGCATATGGTGGGCCCCATCAAATAGCTCAGATCGCCAACCATACATGAGATCGAAAAACGGGTTCAGAATGAAAGTAAGAGACAACAGGAGGCTTTTTCAAATTTAATCAAAAAACTAAGGAAATCTGGAGCACATCGGTTTATGTTCCGAAAAAGAACAAATCAGGAAACTTATGTTATCACCCAAACTTAAGTCGGGATTGCCACCAACTTCAAGGCGTGTGATTCAACAAGCAAATGAGCCAGATGCCAAGTTAACTGATAAAAAACAGAGGTCAAACAACGACAATAGCGAGGAGCACCATACAGATGAAGCCAGGATTAATGTCAAGAAGGTTAATTAAACTTGGACTCATCCTGTATTATGGTTTGCAATGATATACATCCATTTCTGTTTACTAAGTGACCTGTCTCAACACCTCTAAAACGTTTCCTCATGTTTAAATGTTTTGAACAAACATGTGCATCAAAGGTTCTCAACGAGTACCTGAAGTACATAGCAAGACTCACGAAGGGAAGTAGTGCTGATTTAATGAAGAGGATCATGGAGATCAACTTGCATTCCAAAGCATCCCGGAAATTTTCACGTTGCTCCAGAGTTCGGTCATATAGGAAGACTCACAAAAGTTATGCATCAAATCAAATCGAATCTCTAGATTCATTTATTACTACAATGCTTAAAAATATCGATAAGAGAATTTATGCTGTGAACGATCTTTCTGTTATATTTTCAGACTATATTAAGCTGGCGGTTGATACAAGAAAAGAAAACAAACGTATGAGACTTAAGAAAAATCTAAGCTAACAGATTCCAGAAATAAATTTTCCATCTAACCTAGTTCAGTGCGTATGCAAATTCACCATAGTTAATATCAATAAAACTGAGTTAAGGGCATTGTCACTAGGCCTTAAGTTTATCACTTTAGGAAACGGTTAATAAAGCTGACGTCAAAATTTAATTTGAATGCCCTTATACCCGAACGGATCAAAAATGACGTCGAAAGATGTATCCTCCCTATTCATCAACATTCACCTACTTGAAGCTTTCAATAATATTTTCAGTGAAATAACAGATAGATGTATAGGAACCTTTATTCACGTATCCGCAAAAAACAGTTAATTCTTAGGTGCACGGTGAATGCCCACTTCCGGGTCCACAATGAATACTATAGACAGATGGATGGTGTAGCCATGAGGTCACCATCGGGGCTTCTACCGGCAGACAGATTTTTGCAAAAC